ACCTCTCAAGCCAGACATCAATGGGAACATCTACTATGTTACCTTTATTGATGACTTGACAGGCTTGACCTGCATAGGTGGTCTAAGGAACAAGACAGCAATGGATGTCCTTGGATGCTTCAAGAATTTCAAGAAGATCACAGAACTGGCTTTCAACAGGAAAGTGCAGTGTCTGAGGACAGATGGTGGTGGAGAGTATCTGGGAGGCATGAAGCCATACTTGCAACTACATGGGATAGTTCACCAGGTCACCACACCATACACACCTCAACTGAATGGCACAGCAGAAAGAGCAAACAGGACACTCAAGGAGATGTGCTCTTCCATGCTCATTGCTGCCAAGATGGATCACAAGTGGTGGTTCCATGCCATGCAATATGCTTGCACTCTCATCAACATGGGCAAGCAGTATCAAGGGAGATCTCTGGAGGAGATCATGTGAAAGCACAAGCCAGGATATGGTCAACTTCATCCCTTTGGAACAGAGTGCTGGATCAGGGTACCCAAGGAGGGCAGACTCAAGAATGATCTCACCACCAAGAAAGCAATCAAGGGCAAGCTGCTGCATCCAAACATCACTGGAGCAGGCTACCTTGTTGTCATACAAGAAGAAGGAAGAGATGTCACCCTTACCAGCAGGGATGTTGTGTTCAGGAGGCCAGAGGGAGCTAGTGAAGGGAACACTACTCCACTGGGAACACCACAACAACAAGGACATCTTCCTGATCAACAGTATAGAGGTACCAAGTCACCTAATACTGAGGATGCCTCTGAGGACCAGGAAGAACCTCAGAAGGAAGCATCACCACCAGTAGCCAATGGCCCACAAGATCAGCCATTGGACTATAGGGATCCTTCACCTCAAATAGAAGAATCAGAGGAAGAAGAAGACTCTGATGATGAGGATCCCATGCTACTCAAGCCCAGGGCACCTATCAGGAGAAGGTCACCCAGGCTGAACATCATGCAAGAGATGGCATTGGCTAGTGTCCACTCTGCAGAAACACAAGAAGACCCTCACTCATACAGGGCAGCCATGCAAGATCCAAGGTCTGACTTGTGGCAAGAGGCCATCAACAAGGAACTCAAGTCAGTCAAGGATACTGGAACTTGGCAAGAGGTCAAGGTTCCAGAGGGAGCTAGTTTGGTAGACTCCAAATGGGTCTTCAAGACAAAGCTCAATGAAAGAGGAGAAGTCATCAAGTACAAGGCCAGGATAGTGGCCAGAGGCTTCACTCAGGAGTATGGGGTCAACTACTTTGACACATACAGCCCTGTGGCCAGACTCACCTCACTCAGGATACTGCTCACCATTGTGGCAGCTCAAGACTTGGAGCTCTACCAGATGGACGCAGACACTGCCTTTCTCAATGGTACATTGGAGGAAGACATCTACATGGACTTTCCAGATGGATACCAGAGACAGGACAAGAAGTCTACAGGACTCAAGCTTGTTAGATCACTCTATGGTCTCAAGCAATCACCCAGGGTATGGTGGCAACTCATCAGCACATACCTGGAAGAGTTGGGTTTCACCAGGCTATCAGCAGACTGGGGACTCTACTATCACAAGAAGAAACAGGCATATCTACTACTTGGGGACTCTACTATCACAAGAAGAAACAGGCATATCTACTACTCTATGTGGATGATGTTCTGATTGCTGCTCAGGAGATGAGCACCATCAATGGCATCAGGGATGCATTGAAGGACAAGTGGAAATGGTCAGATATAGGAACAGCTACCTATATCCTTGGACTCAAGCTGGAGAGACACAGACCCAGCAGGACCATCTCACTCAGCCAGGAAGGCTATATACAGAGGGTGCTGAACAGGTTTGGCATGCAGGATGCCAAGACAGTCATCACACCACTCTATGATGCCATGATGAAGAGGCAAGAAGATACCATCAAGGAAGACAAGCAGAGGAAGACACTCTACCAACAGATAGTTGGATCCTTGATGTGGAGTGCCATGTCAGCAAGACCAGACCTAGTCTTTGCTGTTGGCTACCTCAGCAGGTTCAGCAGCAACCCATCTGAACAGCACCTCAAGGCAACCAAGAGAACTTTGGCATACTTGAAGGGCACCATTGACAAGGTCCTCACCCTTGGTCAACTGGACAACAACACAGGAGGCAATCAACACAGCCTCATTGGATACTGTGATGCAGACTATGCAGGAGACATGGAGACAAGGAGAAGCACTACAGGATACTGCTTCAAGCTACTAGGATCAGCAGTCTCATGGACCTCTATCAGGCAAAGCACAGTAGCAACATCTACCTGTGAAGCAGAGTATATGGCTTTGGCAGAGGCTGCCAAGGAAGCCATCTGGCTCAACAGGATGCTACAAGAGTTGGGCTTCATCAACAAGGACAAACCAACTCAGCTCTACTGTGACAATCAAGGAGCTCTAGCATTGGCAGGCAATCCAGCTCATCACAAATCACAAGAGGTCAAAGCATATTGACATCAGGTATCATTACATCAGGGAGATGGTGGACAATGGGCACACCACCATTCACCATGTTGGAACCCAGGATCAGGCAGCAGACATGCTTACCAAACCACTGAAGGATATCAAACACAAGCACAACTGCCAGCTCATTCATCTAGAGTGATGGAATGAGAGGATCCATGATCAGCATGCGATCTTAGGAGGCAAAGGATCACCCTCAGCAAGGATTGGTGCATACCATCTTGGAAGTCAAAAAGTTACTCCATCCTTTTCAGGATGCGGCTCACTCCAAGATGTGGACTTGGTTTCAGGACTTGGATACAATACGATCTATCAAGAAAAGACAAAACACCAAAACAGTCTCAGGTCAAAGGTACAGGCTTTGAGCTTGAGCTTGAGAGGGAGTGTTGGAAATAGGCATGTGATGATTAGTCATCAGCACATGGAAGCAATCTCAACCACAAAGTAAACAACAGAGCAAAAAAAACAAAAAAAAGGGCAATTTGCAATTGCAACCGCAAACCGCAAACCGCAAGACGCCAGACCGCCAGACCGCCAGACCGCCAGACCGCAAGACCGCAAGACCGCAAGACCGCAAGACCGCCAGACCGCAAGACCGCAAGACCGCAAGGCCGCAAAACCGCAAGACCGCAAACCGCAGCCTTTTGCCCCTTCCCAGAAAAGTATATATAGCAGGCCATTTGGGTCTGATTTCTCTTTCCCCTCTCATGTACTACTTTACTTTTATGCAAGCAACATTGATTCATCTTCACAACAAGACAAGATCAGCACTAGTAACACACCATTACTACTGCCTAGGTACATCAAGTAACCAACCTTGGTGGCTCTAGGTTGTTACTTCACAACATGGTTGCTGAAGAGCCTTGTGTGGTAGTAATCATTGTTGACAATGATATCCAAGACTTGTCCTATGCTGATGCTTGAGTGTCTGTGTGTGCCTCAAGTCTTTGTTGCTGCTTGGATGCTGATGTCTGTTGCAATCAGCATGTGATGATAGTCATCAACATGTGGAAGCAATCTCAACCACAAACAGCAGGAAGCAAAAAGGGCAATTTGCAATTGACAACCAGCAAACCGCAAACTGCAAACCGCAAGACCGCAAGACCGCCAGACCGCAAGACCGCAAGACCGCAAACCGCAAGACCGGCAAGACCGCAACCGCAAACCGCAGCCTTTTGGCCCTTCCCAGAAAAGTATATATAGCAGGCCATTTGGGTCTGATTTCCCTTTCCCCTCTCATGTACTATTTTACTTTATGCAAGCAACCAGATACATAGTCATTCACACAAGAGATAGCAGCAGTCAACCCCATCAAAGGAACAGCTACACCATCAGCTTAGGCTGATATCACAACAATGTCCAAGTCTGATGCTGACTAGTGATCCTCTCTTGATCTGATAGTCCTTAGTCTCCAATGCTGTGAGACTATACTGTTACTGACCAGTAATACAAACCTGTCCAACTATGTCCAGTGATATCCTCTTGATGATCCTGATAGTTGAGGTTGTTCCTTTGTGAGCTAAGTTCTAAGTGTAGATTAGGTCACAACTACTGGGCTCATAACCTGTTGTGAAGTAACAACTAGATCCACCAAGGTTGGTTATTTGATGTACCTAGGCAATAGTAATGGTGTGTTACTAGTGCTGATCTTGTCTTGTTGTGAAGATGAATCAATGTTGCTTGCATAAAGTAAAGTAGTACATGAGAGGGAGAAGGGGAATGAGGCCAAACTGGCCTCCTATATATACTATCCTGAAGGTAGCCTCCATGGCTCCATGACCCTTGAAACCTGTACATTCTACAGGATTCCCTGTGAAACGTACAAAGTACAATGTACAATGTACATTCTACGAAATGAGGCTTTGTGATTGAGATTGCACTTTTGATGATGTCATCACCTGTGATGTCATACCCTGCCAATCTTCAACATGTACTATTTCATGCATTCAACGTGCACAAGCGCTGGAGAGATACTCTGACATTGGTTACTGGTACCTATGATTTACTGTTAATTGCAGTTGATACCAAACATGCAGAAACGCTGCATTGACTTTGACTGATCGATCGAACCCAATTGTGAAGTATGCCAACTCTTATATAGGAGAGGAGCAGTCTCACAACTGAATTTATATCCAGATACGTTGCAGTTGTCTCAATCGTCCTATTGGTGTTTCTTGATGCTCTTTGCTTGTTAGGTAACAAGGGTAGCTAGTCCTTATTGGTGCTCAAGAGGCAAATGTGGAAAGGGAAAGGATGAAAGGGAAGAAGTGAAAGGTAAGGTAGTGGGAATGAATCTAATGATAAGAGGTCTGAGTCCTCATGAAAGAGAAAAGGGATGACCCATTCCTCCTTCTGGCAACTCCTATATATATGTAGAATCTGGGTCCAATCTACCAGAACATGTGCCTGTAGACGTAATAATACGTCTGAGATTGCACAAATGTGTCTGCAGACGCAGATACGTGATTGTGGTTGCAACCTTGTGTTTCTGGTCACAAGTTGTGATCGCAGTTGCACCTATGTACCAATGCTTTGCGCTTCTTATTATGCAAGTGCCAGGTGCTATACGTGCCATCCACCATCTTAGACACTCTGGAAGTCAAAAATCCATAAATCTGCCATCTACTGTAGTACTTCACCGCGCGAATCACTCTGGGGACATAGTAATATCCTGACAATATACTCACTGTATATCCTTAGTATACTCAGTCCCAAGTGATATAGTGAGTATGTACCACGTTGAATTACGAAGTCCCCGGTATATCACCTAGGTCATATAGCCTGGGTTTACGCAGTGAGTACTGTAGCACGTAGTAGTTCCACCGGATACCACCAACGCTTCCTCCCGGGAATAATTAGATGACGCGTCTGGCCGCTGTGAAAGTGGAGGTACGATGTGCCGGGAATCGTCAGTCGCTCAGTTGTCGCTCGTGCCCGCTCTAATCTAATCTATCTACTCCATCGTCTTTCAGGTAGGTAACTACTATGGTGACACAGGCCACATCTCAACGCCCAAATCGGTTCTATACTTCTTTGTTTATATCGCCAATACTTTCGGAAGGTTACTATCCTGAACGTCGACAGCGGCGGTAATGGTCGCGACATCGTCTGTAAGCGAGCGATGAGCTGGTATCTCTCAACTTTGCTGGTCGAACGCTCATGTTGGATTAACAGCAATGGCGGCAATTCAATTTCTTCGACTCTGATGTAGTAGGTCACAATGCACAGAGAAGCGATGAGATTCCGCTGTTGGAGTCGGTAAGCGATAAACACACGCGCCATTGCCGGCTTTAAAGGTTGACTTGGCTTGCAACGACCAGCTACAAACCAGCCCTCCCATATCATCATCAGCCCCGACACCGCGTCTCCCTAGCGTACGAGGTCGCCTGCATCGTCTGCGATGCTCGTGGTACGATTTGCGTCCTTGGACAAGAGCTTCAACGAGACCAAAAGATGGCAAGGATGGGACGTGGACGGTACCTCGGTCTCAGTGGAAGACAACAGCGGATACAACCTCGGGTTGGGCCTCACTAGCAAGACAAAGAGGAAGCACAAGGAGAAGGGTTTGATGATGTTGGAGTGTGGAGGTCTTCTCATTGCTATAGGGGTGAGCGCGCTTTGGATTACGAGCAGGATCTCGGACTAAACGGAACGGTCATCGCCGCTCAGGAGGACGATTCGCCCACTCAGTCACAGTTCCCTCTGCTGCGGATTTGGGATCTCACCAAAGACGATTCCCGGGATAGACAGCCGCTCCTACTGAGAAGCGTGCGAATTGGTACGGGAGGAAGGGGATATCCTGTGCGTCGATCGGCTCGTTCACTGCAGATAATATGAAGCTAATCCCCGACCTTGCCAAGCAGATATCATCGATCGCCCTCACTCCGGCCATGTCGTATCTGGCAATTGGGCTGGTGTCCGGTCAAGTGCTACTGTATCGCCACCTACTACAATCACTGCAGACTTCTCCTACCGCTCAGTCGAGCTTCCCCAAGGCGAGGGTCGTATGGGAGGGCACGGCCGCAGAGCCTATAACAGGTCTAGGATTCAAGCTATCTGGGCAAATGGAATCGTATGACGCACCTATGAGAAACATGGTCGGAGACTTGCGTCAAGACAAGACTCCTGGATCCGATTCGGTCGGGTTATTCATCGTAACGACGAACAAGACGTTGGCCATTGCCGGTCATCTCTGGGAAAGGTTCAGAACCGAGATTACTAGAGGAGTCTGGTGCACCGTTGAGTTTGCTCCGTCATGGACCATACGCATCGTTGTCTTGTTGTGGCCCGGGAAGACGGCATATACATTACGATACCGAAGCGCGGGGAGCATGCTATGCTTACGAGGGTGAGTTATCGATTGCGAGAGAGCTTCGAGACAGTACGAACCGGATGCTGATACACTGTATCAAAGGGGCCAAGGCGAGTGTCAGGATACACGGACAATCTCTCGTCATGGTATCACCACCTTTCACACCAGCGGCATCTTCTCACTCTGCCACTGTTCGAAGATCGGCCGCGGCCGGACCAGCGTTGCTCAGATCGCATGCGGCGAAAGTGACGGTATTTGATTCTCGAGAACAAGTTCATCTCGCATAGCTCTGTCATTGCTTCAGGCGTAAGAGAACTGTTCGGGAACGATGGGCAGGTCTTCTATATCTTGGAAGGTGACGGCAAGGTGAGTCAGTTCGAACGGCACTATATGGCTCTGAGCTCAAACGTCTATCATGATAGGTGCAAAAATTAACCGAGGCATCTGTGGAGGAGAAACTAGAAGCTCTTCTGCGGAAATCCCTGTTTCAGATGGCGGTCTCCATGGCAAAATCGGCTCGCCAAGGAGACTCCGTGATTTCCGATATTCATCTACGTTATGGCGATCATCTCTACGAGAAAGGCGACTACGACGGTGCTGTAGCGCAGTATCAAAAGACGCTTGGATGGGTACAGCAAGTCACGTCATTCGGAAGGTGAGTTCATTGACCAATACTACCGAGCCATGTACCGCGAGCCCTGACTTCCTCTTGAAACAACCCATCGACTAGTTCCTCGAGGCTCACCGAATACATCAGCTCACCTCATACCTTCAGGAAATGCACGTACGGAACCTCGCCACTCCAGATCACACTACACTCCTTCTCAATTGCTATGCTAAAACGGCAGACAAGGAGCGATTGGACGCCTTCATCCGGACAGAAACCACCAGGAAAGGTAGCGACGATCTGCCATTCGACTTGACCACTGCCATCCGAGTGTGCCGTCAGGCCGGTTTTCACGAGCATGCGTTATATCTCGCGAAACGATACAACCGATATCAAGATTACCTCAGGATCCAACTGGACGACTTGGATGACTTTGCGGCGGTGGCGGCATTTCTGCATACACTGCCATTGGAACTTGTGAGTTGTATCGACTGGTTCATGCTCGTTGTGCCGACAAGACAGCTCAGCTTCGACATACAGGTGGCAGAGATCATCGTACCTTATGTCAAAGACATGTTGAGACGCCATCCTCAAGCGACCACAGATCTCTTGATTGAGATTTGTACATCGTGGAAGATGGAGGGGAGCGGCTCGGAAGCCACACCAAAGCGTCAAGTTCCGGCTTCGAGAGATTTGCAACCGCATCAGTTTTCCCACGATCAATCTGCTTCATCTCCAGAAGATCTTGGCGCCTCGCAGGATCTTGTTCACCAACCGGTTCGCCCGAGCCCTGAACTTTTCTTCCCTGATTTCGTGAACGAACCCGAGCAGTTCCGGCGATTCCTGGAGACTGTGGCACTTAGAAATTGGAGGCCAGCGAGTTGAAGACGAAGAGGTGCCCCGTCGCCATTCTCGCCTGCACAAGCCACCCATAACGTTGGACGCAGCAACGGCAACAGAGGGCGAGGAAAGTTCCCAAAGAGCGGTCTGGAACACTTTGTTGGAACTTTACCTTGGTAAAAGCCGCCCCGACCGTCAACAGGAGGGGGATCGTAATGATCACGATCGAGCTCTCGCCTTGCTCGAGCAAATCGATCGGCTACCCCTTGATCCAGTTCACGCATTGATGCTTTGCTCCGCTTTCGACTTTGAAGCCGGCCTTATGTGTCTTTGGGAGCGTTTAGGAATGTACGAAGAGATTATGCGCTTCTGGAGGCAACGTATGGACGTCGAAACAGAGGGAACGGCTTCCGCCAGTGTCGAACACCGCCGCTCGTATGCTATACTACCTGCGTATTTACGGACCGACTCAGCCTCACTTGTACCCAATGGGTGCTGCGTTACATAACCACCTTCCCCTCCACATTGGCTCGACATACGGCAGACGTCCGCGATATCCTCGACACGATTCAGCAGGAACGTATCATGCCACCTCTTGCGGTCATACAATTGCTCAGTCGCAACGACGTCACGAATATCGGGGTAGTAAAAGATTGGCTCAAGAGTCAAGTAGCGGATACACGCCTCGATATCGACTCTGTGAGTTAGCGATGCTCGCGATACGGGAAGCCAATGAGGAGTACTGAGCGCTACGTCTTTCTTCAATCGCGCCTTCCAGGACAAACAACTGGTACATTCGTATCGAAGCGAGACCGAAGAGAAATTAAGGGAGATTGCCAGCCTCACAGACGTCACGCGTCCACAGGTCTTTCAAGTCACCCGTTGTGCTTCTTGCAACGGTCAACTGGATCTGCCAAGCGTGCATTTCATGTGTAAACATAGTTATCATCAAAGGTGCGCGCGCGGCTTGACAAGGTCTGAGAACGTTCTTCAACTGATCTACTCTTCTTCTCTAGATGTCTACCCGATGCGGATCCCGAGTGCCCTGCTTGCGCCAGACACCATGCCCTCATCCGTGAAATCCGTAGAAACCAGGAAGCCTCTATCGACCGGCACGATCTGTTCCTGGTAGAAGTTTCGGAATCGCTTGATCCTTTTAGTGTTGTTGCGGGCGCCTTTGGACGAGGGGGCATGTTGAATAGAAAGAGTGAAGGGATTTTGTAGACGATATACCCCAGCGAAATTGTCAATTTGCCGACGAGAGCTGGACAACTATTCATTACAGCATCAGCGAGCCGTCAAAGAAGATGCTGCATGTTCATCGCGACTTACGAAGCTCGGCATATCTTCGGCGACGAAATGGGTCGACCTGTTGGAGCCGAGAGAGCCACCGCTCAATGTCCAATTTGACCATAGAGGCGTCTGAAACTCATGCCGACCAAGCTGCAGCATAGAGTAATGTACGAGGCTGTCCAAAGGCCCTGTGTAGAGATCCTGATGTTCTTCAACACATTGGGTATTCATCAGGTTCGTGACGACCCACATTTAGCATCTGGTTTCAACATCCAGCAATTCCGGATATTATCGATCTCTCTGCCTAAGATGAGCTCATCTTCTCCTGTTTCTTCTATCACGTCAGACAGAAACTTGCGACCGTGAAACCAGAGGACTTGCCATTTCCAACGAGCCATCTGTGGTATAGCCAGCCGGATTGATCGCCTGGATCGGTCCAGAGTGCCTGCAGTACGAGCTCAAACTCTGCGTATACAGGTTTAGACTCCCATGCTTTCGGAATCCATAGTGATATGACCTCAACATACCTGCCTGTTTCATTCGTTCGATTTCATCCAGATTTTCCCGGATCCCTTCTCTCTGCATGTCCTCCCAGAGCGAACCCAAAACCTTGGTGCGCTGATGCCAAGCGGAGAAGTTCGAAAAGTTGCCCTCGATTTTCTTTGTCGTATACTTGAGCTCAGCATCTGGTCCCGATCGGGAATCCTGAAGCAAGAACATGGCGCCTGTAATCCCACGCGTGAACTGCAATCTAGACCTCAACTGGGGAACAGCGCTCGGACTCCAAAGTTTTAGGCTTACAATTCCGGGCGTCGCGCTCGAGCATTTTTTCGACCAGGCCAAGCTCTGCCTTCCAAGTCTGCTGCTTCCAATTGACATGGTCCTCGATATCATCGGGCATCCTTTCGAGACACCATTTCCGATGAGTCCAGATCCAGTAGACCTTGGGATGGATTTGCAAGTAGGATACCGTCAACTTCAAGTCCTGCTGCAGTAAAGTTACCGCTGCAGGACTGCATGACAGGGCAACAGGCCATCAGTCCATGTCAAGACCGCTGTCGAACATTGTCCGGACTTGCCCATCCAAGAGTCCTCCCAGCAAGATCTCCCTACGAAAGTTCCAGATTGTATAGAACTCGGGATTTATATCTAACACCTTGGTGTTTGCGCGAGACTCGCAAGCGAGTACTCTTTGCCGATCTCTGAGATAGCGAACGGAATCGATCAGATATCAGCTCGGTACAGAGACTAACATGACTAGCTGCTGTCACGTACCTTCATCCAGCACTGTTCCACAAGCTCGGCGTAAGTGTCTCTTATATGAGCATCTTCTTTCTGCTTGGCTGCTGTGCTTGAGCATCGATGCGTGATCTCTTGACCCCATGCTAGCCCATAGACCGTCGAGGACGATCAGCCGATGCGTAAAAGGTGAACACGTCGTGGTGTGCTCACCATTTCTTCAGAATTCTGGTCCGCGATAGCTATCAAGGTTCGGTCGCAAGAAGAATCAGAGGCCAATAGCCAATAGTTGTACAGATTATTATTGTGAATAGCGATATGATTGTGCACCGGCGATGGCCTGGATGTTCGGTGCTGTGAGAGCGGAAGCAAAATGAACGGTAGAATTGATGACTAATCACAGAAATGGGTATCAAAGAAACGGCGAGGTTGCGATCCTAATATGACTTGATCATCAAGCGTTCACAAGGCGTCTCATCCATTACTGCCGTGGCAGTTGGACTCTTGCGACTGGATTGCTGCTTGTCGCCGCACTTTTGTCTACATGGAAGCCAACGGCGCCCAGGGAAATGCGGCCCTTTTGTCACATCGCCTGACCTTGCAGGTAGGTGAAATTATCACAGTTGCATCGGCATGTCGAGTCATGGCTGATCGTCTCGACGTTTACCCTCCGGTTTCTGGCAGGTCTTGTGCCGGTCCGTAGCTGCTTTTCATAGCGAGAGCAAAAGGGATGCATATCTTCCCCCTATACTGGACCGCAATGCCGACTATTCCGAGCCGGAAGTATCGGGGCTCGTCAAATTTGAGGAGCTCTGTAAGAAAGAGCTCGCTCACCACGACTACGTGAGGCTTCCTCTTTCTTGTTTGCTTGTGAAGCTTACGTCTGAACATCGTTCATCCTCTCTCATCCTACACAGCTTTTCGAAGCTGATCGTCCGATCGACAACCTCTCGAGCAATACATCCTTCCTCCTGGCCGTCTGGAAGGAAGTTCTGTCTGCTCCCAAACCAGTCACCGCAATCAACTTGAACGTGAGGACCATAACGGATGTGGCCGCATTCAAGATCGACGTCGTTTCGGCCAACGGTAATTGTTGGCACAAAATCAATTCTATAAGAGCATCTCGCGTGCTAGCGGAGCTACAAGAGAGCGAGATCACATCGCAGGATCAACCGCGAGAACAATCAGAAAACAAGTATAGGCACATCAGTCTAGTGAAACAATGTCTCGATATGCGAGAGGCCGCAAGGAGCCACAGCGCGGCCATGGGAAACGACGTCTGCCTGACCTACAGGCTGTCCCGAATGGACGAACAAAACGAAGACCCTCGTATACAGGCGATGTATGAGTTCATCAAAGGGCTAGATATCGACTTGCGATTCGGTGACCCGGAGGACGCACCATCAGCCGCAGGGGAACCTAGCCGAGTACAGACGGTAGCATCGTTAGATTTGAACCTCGACCTCAGCCTTCTCATCGCTCTGCTCTCAGACATTACCCATGCGGATTTACCCGAGTCTGATGAAGAGGCAGAAGCTAGGTATCAGCCGGTACCCAGGATCTGGAAACGCGCAACATCTCGTACGGATGGCCATGTGACTGAGGACAGGCCGGCTACGGAGGGCGAGCTTGGTACCGAGGAGCATACTCGAGCCCTGACGGTCCAACTCAAGCAAGAGGTTCGATCGGGCTTGGTCGACGAGCTCAGCGCGGCCATCGATACGATGTGTGAGGTTCGCAGAGTGTCTCCCGAGGATGTGCGATTTTGGACAACACGGGAAGCCATGGAAAGGTGTCACGATATCGTCAGGAAGATTGCCGGTCCCCGCGAGGCCTATCGGGCGGGACACATGTTCAGCACACAAGACCTAAAAGGTGGACTTTCACCCTTCTGGGCAATGTCTCGCCACCAGCCTCTCTCTGGACCGCTGCGCACTTTTAGCGTGGGGGTGCTCGAATCCAGCGACATCGATTCTGTGTCGCCCCCGTCTCGGTCCTTTGCGAATCGGCTGATGGCCACTTGCGGCCGCATCTTGGATAGCGATGGCTCCCAGGGCATGATCGAAAGAAAAAAGACCACAAGGCGCACATCACCCCCACCAAAAGTACCCTCACCTCACACGACTAGGAGCATGCTCGCCGGAGCGTCCCGTGGCATGACGACGGTAACAGCAAATCGTATGAGCGTCAAGCAGATTGTACGAAACATGGGGGTTTACAAGGGTTGGAGCAAGGCAAAGACCTCGCTTTTCATGTTGTGAATCCAAAGACTTTGGCCGAAGCAAAACGGGCAGATAACGCCATGAAACCTAGTAAACAGGGTGGTGAGGAGGTTGAGAGCCTGCAAATCGCCGCTTTCATGATTACCGAGCCGCGAAGTCTCTCTGAAACCTTTGAAGATCAGGCTTGATGAGGTTGCAGCGGTATTGCATTGTCGTTGAAAGGGGAATGTTTATACGGCATGATCGCTATCTTATGACAGCATGACAGCGCGGTTGAACTAGATATGATGCTCACAAGAGACCAGCGCGAAGGGGGCGACGCACACGGTCGCGGCCAGAGTTTCGCGGAGTGTGCAACTGGCAACTTGATAGCTTGATAGTCCGATCCGGTTTTGTACGTTACCGCTACACCATTGTTTGGATACTACCACGTCCCGGATTCTAGCCATTGTCTGGTCTTTGCTGTGTCCTAGGGCCATCGCTGGATCGCTGCGCATATCTTCACGTCTTCTCGGTAGAAACGTCGTCGACATGGATCACTCGATCGATGCCGGTAGGTGACGCGTTTAGGTTGGACGATGCTATACTACCTGACATTGAACGGAGATTGCGTCG